GGTCTGACTGTAAGACCGTTCTTACACGAATGGATTAAGAAAATGTGGGTATCTATACACAATGGAATTTTATGCAGCCATGAAGAAGAACGAAATGTTATCATTCGTTGGTAAATGGATGGAATTGGAGAACATCATTCTGAGTGAGGTTAGCCTGGCCCAAAAGACCAAAAATCATATGTTCTCCCTCATATGTGGACATTAGATCAAGGGCAAACACAACAAGGGGATTGGACTATGAGCACATGATAAAAGCGAGAGCACACAGGGAGGGGTGAGGATAAGTAAGACACCTAAAAAACTAGCTAGCATTTGTTGCCCTTAACACAGAGAAATTAAAGCAGATACCTTAAAGCAACTGAGGCCAATAGAAAAGGGGACCAGGAACTAGAGAAAAGGTTAGATCAAAAGAATTAACCTAGAAGGTAAACACCCACGCACAGGAAATCAATGTGAGTCAATGCCCTGTATAGCTATCCTTATCTCAACCAAAAACCCCTTGTTCCTTCCTATTATTGCTTATACTCTCTCTAAACAAAATTAGAGATAAGGGCAAATAGTTTCTGCTGGGTATTGAGGGGGAGCGGGAGGGGGTGGAGTGGGTGGTAAGGGAGGGGGTGGGGGCAGGGGGAGAAATGAACCAAGCCTTGTATGCACATATGAATAATAAAAGAAAAATTAAAACAAAATAAATTTGAAAAAAAAAAAGAACCGTCTTACAGACCTGGCTGCGTAGTACCGCAGGTACAGAAGGCAAAAGCATTTAGAGTCTATTTGACAGGCCTGTTTAAATACACATCAGATTTTTGTTTAAAAAAAATAAATTTATTATTTTCTAACCATTGACTGTGCAATAATTTCTTGCAGAACATGTGATTGACTCATTTCATTTTATTCTGCACCAAACACAATAAACTAACAAACCATTTTGGGTAACTGTCCATCTTGGACCCCCCTTTGTCCTCTTTGATGACAACTTTTCTCACTTTATTTCATATGTTTTTTTTGAAATTTTATAGGACTGATTTCAGTGTGATGAAGTTGATTTCAGAACTTAATATGGGGACTATGTAAAAGGCCTCTTGTTATCTTTCTTCATTCACATTCTGTGGATTCATTTCCTTCTCTGTTGTCACAGTCGCTACTTTCTGTAGATCTTAATGAATTCAACAAAGAATCAATGGCAGCATTTTCTCACAGGTGTCCTTAAGCATCACTTTTCCATTACTAGTCTATTTTGTCAGTTAGCATCATTACAAACTATTTAATTTAAGTCTGTGTCCATCAGCCTTTTCCATTACTGTAACAAACATTAGCATAAATCAACTTGTGAAGAGAAAAGACTTATTGTGGCTTATTATTTCACAGGATGCAGCCATAATGCTCTGGGCCAGTGTGGAAACTAAAGAAGCATGGTGGAAACATGGTCGGAAAATCTGTCGTGGCAGCTGGGAAGCAAAGAGGAAAACAGAAGGGCCATGGATCCAATATCCCCTTCAAGGGCCATGACAGCTGATGGACCTAACTTCATTCCATTAGGGCTCTACTTACTAAAAGGAAATGACAAACAGGCTGGGGACCCAATCCATTACCACCTGTGCCTTTGGCGGTAGTCAAGATTCAAAACTGTAGCAGTCATAAATGAACTTTATACCATTTCTCATCTTCCAGTCCACAAGACTCAATCCTCCACTGGACTTCCAAAACCTATTGCTAGCTCTCAGCACTCTCCCGGCTGAACTCATTATCTTTGGTTGACAGAATACGCTACAAACATGCCTTAACCTGTTCCCCAGCAGTCCTAGCTGATACACATTTCTGAAAACAATATCCCGCAACCTAAAAAGTAAAAGCCTCTTTGTGATTGTACCTTTACTTTCCACTTTTGCCATCTCTTTATGGGCCTTAGTTTATCAATAAAATGAAAGGCTCCAATAATTATTTTCCTGTCCATGGAACTTTATGTTTTGTGTCTTTTGAAATTCTGGCACAAGGCTTTATTTGCTAAATGCTCTTTAAACAAATCTTATGAAAATACAGTAAGAAATGAACTCTGATCTTAAAATTCATAACCTGCCTCAACTCTTTTAAGTAAAAAAGATGCAAAAATAAATTGTTTTTTCAAAATGTGATTTGAGGACATTGCTTACACTCTGAGCTCAATGTTACTGACTTGTGTAAGAGGTAAACTATTCAAATGGAATTTTCAAAATCTGTTTTGCTTTAGTAATTTGATTGAGTGGGCCTATCCTATTTTTTTAAAGAGTTTGAGTTGGAAATAATATTCTGACCAGCCATAATTAGACAATGGTGCAATATCATACATACTGCAATGTATAGAGCATGGAAAATCTTCAGGTTTTCTTTTTTTTTTTTCATTAAATATGTAAAAAAGGAGGAATCATGATCTTGGAGCAAAGAAAAAGCACCAAAATTTTTGGCTGATGGTGAGCATGATAATGCTTAAAAAATATGATGAATAGATAAAAAAAATGACTGCTACCACTATTGCCATAATAACTTAAATAACACTTAAACTATGCCTGCACATTGCAGACGAACCTCTGGAAATAGTCAAATTGAATGCAATTTTATTTTACTTCATAAATAACCTAAACCAAAGGCCAGTCTTAAAGAGAAGTAAGTCAGTATAGGATTAGGGGTAATATTCAATTCCAATTTAAGGTATATGAATTAGGATAATTAAAGAAGAAAAGCCAAGAAACACTCAAAAGTTTCTATGGGGCCTTTACAAAGAAGAGGAGATCTTGCTAAATGAGGAATTATCTACTTAAACTTGCAACATTTTTGAGTTTGTTTTAATAAAATATGAATTTTTAAGTAATAGAGATTGCAGTGACTATTAATTTTCATCCTCAGTCACAACTGCCAGCTAACCTTTAGTGTTTCTATTCAGAGAGTGTGCTGGTGACTGTCCAGATGTTAAACATTTTATTCATCACTTCAATCAATGTATGAATTTCAACAAAAGTTTATTTTCTTAGATGTTGTTAGAGTCAAATATTAAGCAGGAATAAAATCAGTATGTTTTTATTCATGAGATTTAGCAGTTCTTGATAACCATGATGGATCATACTTACTTGTGTGAGAGCTTACACTTGTCTGAGACCTGTAGTGATGCTGATATGAGTGATGGACAATTGTTTTTTAATGCAGTGGAATTCATCCTTTTTCCCCCTTTCCAAAATCATGTATGAAGTCCCCAAACCTCATCTCCTCAGAATGTGGTTCTATTTGGAGTTCAGGTTCAATACAAGAAAAACGGCAATAAGTTTAAAATAAGGTCATCTAGAGGCCCTGTCTGACTGGTTCCTTTTTGTTAAATGAAAATTTGGTGTGCACCAGGGATAACCTGGTTATGTGTTGCCACAGAGAGAAAGAATGCCTATGAGGCACAGCAAAAGGGAGGCTGTGTCAAGCCAAGGGCTGGGCCCAGAGAAGAAATCAACTTGGCCTCTTGACGTCCAGCAACTGTGAGAAAACTAAATCCCATTTGTAAGTGGCCTGGTTCATGTGGCATTTTTTTACTGGAGCTCTACCAGACTTTGCACACATGAGTTCAAGGCCCTGAACAGTTGCTCATGGAAGGTTGCTTCAGAGATATTACATTTGTGACTATTGCACTCAGGACTTGGCCTCCAGGGTGTTGTAACTGCATTGGCAAGATATTCTGCCTGCGTCTCCTCTTTAGTGACCCCATATTTTACCATACGGACATGCTACCAAGAGATGGCTCCCACTGTCATTTACTCTCGGTCTGCCTTTCTGGAACTCCAGTTTTGCTTCCACAAGGAAGAAAAACTTCAGCAGGCAATCTGAGAACTAATATTGTTGAAACTTCAGATAGATCCCAGTGAGCCAGCTGACCACCCAGCCTGCTTTTGTACTATCAGAGGCCAAAAGACAGGTGATGTGCCCAGTTGGCAGGGCCTTGAGAGTGAAGACCGTGAGATTGTAACCCATAAATTCATTTACTCCTCCTAAAGTCCCTCCCTAGTATGGCACACCACTTCTGGGCATTTCCCTAGCACTCCTTCAGAACCACTTATTTGCTTGTTTTGGTGCACAGAAGACATTTAAGAAGATTAGAAAAACATACAATTTGGAAAACAGTGCTCACGTGAAATGAAATCTGAGTTTTACAGAATTCGTGGGATAGTTTACTTTTCTCTTTTTTTAAATTTCCTTTATTCATATGGTGGCATAAAATGACTTGGTCATTACTCCCCACTCCCCCCACCTTCTTCCTTTCCCCCCACCCCCTCCCTCTTGCCCCCACCCCCTTGCTTCCCAAGCAAGATTACTGTTTTTGCCCTTATCTCGAATTTTGAAAGAAGTGTATAAACGTTAATTAAGGAGACCAGGCGTTTTGCTAGTTGAGGTAAGGATAGCACTATAGGGAGATTTCCTAGTTTTGCTTCCATAGTGACTTTCTCTTGAGGCTATAAAAATTAGCTTTATAAGAGAGTGAGGAACATGCAGGATTTATAAGAATTTCAACAATTCCTGGAGGAGTATACTCTTCAAAATAAAATACCATTTAAAGGGATGGATATAAGTAACATAGCTATCTGATACAGAAGAACTTCCAAAAACAGAACTTATAAGCATGGTTCTTGCACTAAGCAGCTGGTTGTAGCACAGAAGCAAATTACAGCCTCTTCGGAACCTCTGTTTTTTCTGCGTTTGTTTGGGTGATTAGAAATACCTATATAAAATGAGTTCCTTTGTACCAGGCAAATGCCCTGGACTCACTAAGTGCGTTTCTCTACACTTATTATCACTGTTTCTGATTAATTGCAAATCTAACCACCATCATCTCAGCAGGGCTCATTTTAAGCACTACATTGACAGAACATCAGAATCAAAAGTTGACCTTAGCAATGATTTAGTCCAAGTCTCCTCATTTTTCAGAGAAAATTAACGCCCCAGAGAAATGAAATGACTTGCCCTAGGTTTACAAGAGCAGTTAGGCGACGATGACAGCATCGGACACAGAACCACACTATTTTTTCCTCAGGTCAGAGTACTTTCCATTTCAGAGCATTTCCGTTTAATAGCAAGTACACATAGCTTAATAAACACATTTCTTTAAGTCTACTAATTACAAATGGGGCAGTCATATGAACTGAAGATAGATGGAATAATGGTTAAGTCTAAGTGTTGTTGTTAGTGCTGCGCAAAATTTACACTAGGACAACCTCTTCGTACCATGTAATGAGGTTCCGGATGGTCTCTAAACAAATCTATCTTCCCACAAGCCCTGACCCGCCAAACAGGGACAGAGTTCATAGTGGAGAATTTAACTGCTAAATTTAAAAACAGTGTCTCAGACTCTGGCTTTTTTTTTCCCCTCAGGGAAGTGATTTGTCTTACCCAGAATTGCCATTCACGAATTCCCAAAATGGCAAATTGTGATTGTGGGAGGACCATAGGGGGCTTCTGCCCCGTGCACAGATGTTGGAGGAAAGATTGTTGACTTGTGGATGACCTCGGAGCCCCTCTGGAATTCTTCACGTCTTGGCGTATTAACGATGGTTGGCCCATTTCCAAAGATTCTAGCACCATGTTCTGAGGGTGTAGCATACATTGTGACATGTTTTCCTTTGGGCACTTCAGGAGTCAGTTGTTCTCCCCTCTTGTTTCAAAAAGCATCCTCCATTAGTGCCAGACTAGGTATTTAGGCACAAGGGGGCACCTTTCATGCCTTCTGGGCCTCTTGGACTTCAACTATCCCCACTGTTTTTTTGGGACAGGGTGGGCAAAGTCTTTCATACCAATTTTGTGCCCTGCCATCACAATAGCAGTGCTAGATTTCATGAGGCCTATCTCTGATCAGGAAATGTCATGTTTTTCATTGTTCTCTGTGCCTGACTGACCTTCACTGCAAATATTCTCAAACTGACATTTTCTACTCAGAGTCCCAAATGAAAGTGGACAAAAAACCTCTCCCTTTGGCTATCACTGTATCTCCTTACTGGAATTTACAAAAGAGCATGGGTGAAAACTATGAGCCTTATGACTTCTCTTCTTTTTTCTTCTTTAAAATCATCCTTTCTGTACTCTCTTTCTAGACTTTCAGGGTCCATAAAGTTCTCGTGACCTTCCTGGGTGTCAGCCTACTTCGAATACTTCCTCTTACAGACATGGCTTCCACTTCATGCTTTGCATTTTTGGTTAATGTAAATGAAAGATGGAGTTATCAGAGAGACTGTGATTTTTAATCAGAATCCCAAGCACGCTTAGGAATGAGGCTTCAATAAGGACAAATAACATACCATATTCACTTGCACCACAAACACCTTCTTCATTACCACATTTAATTTCATTGTAAACCTAAATCAGACTAATGGTTGAAAAATTCGCTTGCAATTCTTCAAAGATTGTCCTTCTCATTTTAGAAAAGATACAAACTTCCCACCACAATTTGCGAGAGCTGGGTTTGTAGCCTTTGACTCCACCTTCCATCCTCACACAGCCTCTGCTCTGTCATTCACAGCCTAAACACTGCATAATATCAAGGAGGACAGATGCCCCATTTTTCTTTTTCTACCCTTTTCTTGTGTCTGGATCTTTGCACAACCAGTTCCTCATCCTTTAGATCCCAGCTTAAAAATCCACCTCCCCAAAGAGAAATTCCCCAATTTCTATGAAAGATTGTGAAAATAAGCACTCCTCCATCAGCGTGCTTCAGCAGAGCACCTGGACGGGCAGTTCCTCACAGAATTGAAGGCTCAAACTATTCTTATTTCATTAATATGCTTGTGGTTGTCTGTTTTCCAATAGCATAGAAAATGGGAACAGAATCAGGAGTCTGCTGCTTTATCTTTTCAACAACTTATACCTAAAAACTAAATATGCCTTTATATAATAGTGCCCAATAATAAGGAATGGATGAATGGACTCCTGGTTCATTTATTTGAAGTCATTCAAAACAATTGACAATTCAATTTATGTACCTATATTATTGATAATTTTCAAAGTATTATTAATTCCATAAACTCAATATATAATGAAGACCACACAAAAGAACTTTATCAAATCCAACAGTCACTATTACTAGGATTAATCTTCCTAAAAACTACTAAACTGATATATTTAAGAAAGACTATTTTAGAACTTGACCATATTGCAAACTCAGCATTTATTATCTAATTACTTTTATCTAATATTTACTAGTATAATTTCTCAACTAACAATTGCTTTTGCTGGCACTTTTTTTGTATACATCTCTTGTCTCTTTGCACAAATCTCTGAATATTGCACTTTTAAATTATAGTTAATCACAATTTTGCTGTTCACATCTATATAAAATAAAACACATTTACATGTGCTTTATATTTATGGAATTTTTATCAAAACTGAATTTACACTAAAAATTGATATTAAGGTTTGCTCTTCTTCTGGAGATCACTGTAGGATACACTACAGGAAATTGTTACCAGATGCTCGTGGTGATGGGACACATCGAAACAAGTCTCCTTTGGGTAAAACTGGATGTAGAAAAATACAACCTGAGCAATGGAAGGCTTCTTCATTATTCCTTTTCCTTCCTTTCTGTATCCTAAGACAAAAAAATTAGAAATATAGTTTATTTAAAAATGCCAATTATATTTCTCAACCGGAAATATCTTTGAAGATAAACTTACAAGAAGCAAGACTTAATTAGAATTCTTTACTTAGGCTTGCACTGCAATTTTCATTAATTGTCCCATATTCAGAATTAAACCTCTGGTTTTTCTGCAGTAGCTCAATTACATTACTAAAAGTCATTTTATCGTTTGGCAGAAACTATTATTTCTGAGATTTTTCCCTTAATAACCATGGCTTCACGTGGGTTCTAGATTTATACCTGAATCTTGAGAGGATAGATTTTACATATGTTCAGGTTGGCATTTAAATGGTCAAGGATTTTAATCACTCAGTTATAAGTCAGCTTGGCTCAGTATAAAATTTCTTGGGCTTTTTACTGGGGTTTTTCAGTCACTGGTTTCCCCTTCCCTGTTTTTTCCTCCAAATTTAAAAATTCTCAACTTGCCTTGTTCCCTGCATGATTTTTACTAGAACTGAAATTTCAGACAGTAAACAATACCTACACAAATTAGATGAGCTTATTCATGTAACAGTCTCCTTTCCTTCTAGAAAAAAACACTGAAGGTAACGTGAAAATGGGTAACATTTTTACTTTGCTTTGGTACTTAGGAAATAATTTTAGAAATAAAATTATTGAGTTATATGAAGCTCTAATTCTCTAACGTTCCATATTTTTTTAGAAAGGTTTCACCATAACTCATGAAATTTGTGATAGGTATCCAGAGTATAGTACTAAATTTTTCAAGCTAAACTGAATGATGAGATCTGGCTACTGACGCTTAGATTTTTTTTTTAATTCTGTGAAACAATTTCTATATTGAAAATGGACTTGATATTTCATTTAAGCCCAATTTCCTTCTTTTTCTCTTTCTCCTCCCTTATTGTTTCTTATCTTCTCCTCCTTTCCCACATCTTTTCTCTGCCCCAACTCTGACTCCTAGCGTTATTACACGAACTAAGATGCACTCCTGCAGACAGACACTAGGTCCAAGGATTTATCAGCACACCTTGACAATTCAATTAACCTTGCCTGTCCTCACTCTTGGTCTATTCAACGCAGAGTCGTCCCATACTGTGTTCTTTGCCTTTTGCTCTGCTTAGTAGGCATTTCAACATATTCCTATACACTTGTATTTTATCTAGATAAAAGTTAAAAAATGAATTCAAGTAAAAATGTATTTTGGGTGGTATTTCTGTCCTAAAAATTTTAAACCAGTTTATGTCTGTTTTGATTGATCATATAAAATTTTATATGATAGATTACAAAAATCATAAATGCTTCATTAAAAAAAGTTCAACTAATACATATATATGTATTAGCTTTCTGTATATATGTATACATGTATATATGTATTTTCGTGTGTATATATATAACACAGGAAAAATTTTTAAATGTTACCTTTTAATTTTTATGTTCTTATCTTAATCTCCCAGGAAAGCACAACTAAGATGGTTAATGTTGTATACTTCCATAATATTTTATTTCTATAAAAATAGTCCTATCCATAAATTATTCCAACTAACAACATGTGTGTGCATTTTTAATCAATAAACTAGTTATAGATTTATATATCATTTCTAAAAACATTTTTGTTAAATTAATATTACTTCAGTAAGTATGTTAAGTTATTTAAAGTATTTTCGAAATTAAATTCTTAGAAAAACATCTTGATTAATCCAATTCATATAGGTATACCATTTCAATTACCTGATAATATATAATTTTTTGCCAGCTTACTCAATGGCAAAGTGAAGTAAAAACAGAAGGTAAGCAGGGTTCAGGTGACGTTGGAATCAGGCTGCAAAGTTATTTTAAAATTCTAGCATTTTGGTGAGTTTGTGGTCTTCATGTCTTCACTTGGCAACAGTGTTGGGAGTCTGGTCCCTGTGGTTTTCACACAAGCTATCCAAGTCCTGATGTCATGCCCTGACCGTATTTCCAGTATGGATAAAACACACATTAGTGACAGTAGCAACATAGATTAAGCAACTCTCTTGTGCGTCATTAAAATATCATTTTAGCTGCCGTCGTCCAAAAATAGAATTGTTGTAAGTAAGGATAAAAGTTTAATGTTTTCTTTCGTATAAAATTTCTGAATCAATGTGTTGGATACAATCTCAAGGACTAGTCACTGACCCTCAATAGGCAAACTTCATCTAATGGTCCAAGAAGGTTGTATCAGCTCCCTGCTGATGAAAAATATGGGGCACAGAAGGAATGGTTTCTGCCCTTTTAAAGTCAACAACCTAGAAATCACATACCTCTTCCTATGCATCACGTCGTCTAGAGCTCTTACCCAAGGCTGTACTTGATTCCAGGCAAAAAACTGGAATTTGAAAATTGTGTTTCTCTGCATAGCTATGTGATTTGCCAGAGATTCTGTTACATTACCAATAGCATAAGAAATGGGATATGAGACATGAATA